TGTCCTTTTGCCGTTGAGGCTGCTCTCCTATTGTTGGAGTAGCAGATGGCTGAAAATGTTGTAGATGGAGACGACCGAGAAGTTCATTTGCAAATAAGGCAAACTGATGTTGGAGTGGTTACACTAACCTCTACGAGGATTTATCTAGCTAGACTTGAGTGACATAATTGACGCCGGAAGGTTCTCCAATACACATGTTAGGGATCTGAAAGTGGTTAGAATTAGCTATTTGCTCAAGAGAAGAAATAGTGACGCTACGGTAGGCGCCAAACTATTTATGTCGAAAAATTGATCTAAGAATCAAGTGGGGATTAATGAGAGATTAGAGGTCCTTATTTTACTCTATTGACCGACCAAAGTTGGGAAGTGCAAATCCCTACACTAGCAACAAATATTAGAGGTCCTGGAGGAGATTTTCTCTGACGTGCCTTCCGAAGCTCAAGTCAGTGACAGGTGGAATCGGTGGGAAGAAAAGTATAAAACTAAGTTTTTGGGTTTACAAAATTCAGACCTGAGATTGATGAAAGTAACTTATGTATATAGAAGAGATTGATGGTGAATTGGTAATCTTATTCAACCAGTGGAAGCGACATTTGGTTTATGCTTTACATATCAACAGCCAGTTGGGCGAGATCGCTAGTCATCCACATCGCATTTCATGTGACAGCGACAGGATGACGGAGTGTGGGCATCCGAGTCATTATTACATCTCACCCACATTAAATACGATGGCGACTAGGTGGAGACATTATGTCTGATCATTCATTAAACACGGGTGCCGCTAACGAGGTAGTTGGACATCCCCTCATCTCCTGACGAATGTGTTCTGGTGGTGCCCGACCTGAAGACGCCTTCAGACTTGGATTAGGACTGTTGGAAAAGCCGGCTAGTCTAGTCGGGCTACAACTATGCTTGGACCAGGTTTTCAGGCATATGACCTGACCTGACTGATCGACTCATGATTTTTAGGGTACAACAAAGTACTACCATTACTAAGTTGAAGTTGTTCCAGATTTGAAAATGTACATGTGAGTAAGGGGTGTATGTTCATAAAATTATATACCTATGCTTTCTGACTTAAGCTTTGTTATAAACAATGTTATCTTTTATCAAAACCGATGCATACTATTATTCTTGGGCCAATTTGTAATGCTAATAAAAAGATGGTATATTCCCTGTCTACACTCAAGATCAATGAGATGAAATTATTTTTAGAGAATTATGTTTCAATTTGTTGAGATAGATCTTTGAATTCTATGTTCATAACAAATTATATTCCCTATGCTTTCTGATTTGAACTTTTTATAAACAATGACATCTTTTATCAAAATCATTGAGTACACTATTATTCTTTCACCATTTGTAGCTGTATTGCTGTAAATAAAAAGATGTCAGATTTTCCTTTTTACACTCGCAAGATGAAACTATTTTCAAAGAACTATGTTTTTTACTTGTTTAACTAGATCTTTGACTTCAATGCTTCCCCCATGTCATGCGGGATGTATTGGCTAGTACCAGATATATATATTTATTGTTTTACTAAGTAATTGTGATTCGGTTCAATCCCACTATCTACGATGAAGCAATACAAAGTACTTTCGCTAGGCGCATCGAAGATGAGGCACAAAATGTCTGAGATTTAGCAAGGTGTTGTAAAAGTGTTGCACGTACTTAGTAGTAAGCCAAGTAACAACGGCAACACCTGTAATATCCTTATTAATCACGAGTTAAGATTTTCATTAGAAGTGAGAGTTTTTCTCTTAAAGAGTTAGTTCATTTGATATTTTTATTGGATCAAGATGAGATACATAATATCTTACGTAGCAAATGGTAAATGTAAAGAAGATTGTATAACAATTGGCGGTGTAGAACAAGTATACTAACTTGGAAAAAATGTACGTAATAAAAACTATATTATTATACTGTACTATTGACTAGACTGCTATGTAAATGAATGTAATGTAAGATAATGATAATGACGATAACAGTAATAAGAGAAACAAATGAATCTGGATTAGCTTCTAACGTGAGCTTACATGAGGGGTCCAACTGAAAATTGTGACTATGATAACTAATAAAATAACTGGTTAACTTGCAACACTACCTTGGCTTGTAGCATCATTGCATCAAGAAGATAAGTTGCCACGTATCTTCTTACCAAGCAACTAAAGACCTTAGCAGACCGGTAAGCAAGCAAAAATGAAAACAGGTGTCTTCACAAAACATCTATGTTGGATTTTGAACTGTTGACAACCGACTGAGCTTAATCAGTTTCGCTAAGAAATTTATGAGATATAAATAGAAGTATAGCCAGTGGTTTTAAAAAGAGAAGATAAAGAGGATTGATGAATGTTTTCCAATTTGTTTCCTAACATATGTTTCCAATTAAATTGAATGGTGAAGAATTCTAGAGGGGTGATTATGTGCGGTGGGATTACATATGAAATTGGTTATGTACAAGACAGTCTTTGATGACATATTTCCTCAGTTGAGTGGTTGTGCATACAAGATACAAAGCCTATAATGTTGGGTTCTCATGGCAATTCATAGAGGAACACGATAGGGATTTCGTAGTTCAAGTAAGTAATCTTTATCCCTTCTTGAATTTTAGAGTAATTTCATGCGCATTAGTGGCATACATAGTTATGTTAAGTCATAAGATTGATTATGAGTATTGGACTGATTCAAGAAGACTAGAGAATGAGTTTACATTGTTTTTATACGATATTAGAGCAACAAGGATTAATTAACTATTTTTAGTACAATTATCTAAATAGTATTGCATGAAATAATTCTTATGGTACTTAATAAGAATACCTCAGATAATTAATTGTTCTCCCTATTGTCATTGGTATTTTTCTATGAAAATACTTATGGACACATTTATATTATGTACCACGAATTATGAGATGATTATTGTTATTTACCAGTTTCTAATTGATAATTTTAATGTACCATTGTATACATGCATGATGCATCTAATGTTTCATAAAGAACAGCCACGTAATAGAAAGTTTTCTTGTAAAGATTATGGTAGTACTAACATTATTGGAATTTCTTTCTAAAAGAATGAGAAACTATCTTAGAATATTTTATATGCTTTCATCTAAATTAAAGGAATTTACATGATACTGATAGTACTAACATTATTGTACTGTTTTTGGACCATTTGACACCATCAAGAATTTCTGGACCCTTGGCTGAGAAGGTAATATAAGAATAATTGTGAAAATTGTCAACTATGAAATTTGATATAGAAATTACTTGGACTATTTGATAATTTTCTGGAAAAATTGCATTTGATTTGTTTGATTTAACTAAGTCAGATTTTGGCCTTCCTAAATTATATTTTTTATAGACCACAAAAGTTAAATTAAATTTATGTTGATGTTTACCGGATCTGATTTCCGGCCTCCAACTAGAATATTTTGGTTATTAACTGCAATAGTTAATACTGATATTATATTAATAATTCCCGAAAGAAATTATCATCTGAATTGTATTATATTTGAATTTTGCATATTGAATTTTTTTACGGATTTTATGATAATAATTTCTACGAACCTAGAATTTAAGAAGTGGATAGCTTACTGAGTCGTCGTACTCATTCCATTCCTTATATCTTTTCTCAGAGTAAAACCACATAAAGATCATACAATTGATTTCTGAAGGGAAATTTGGGCAACTAAGATGATAGGGTAAAAGGCTTTACTTATATTTACAATGAATATGAATTTATTAATGTACAAACATATCAGTATAATAGTTAGCAATTTTGAGATGTACTTGAGTTATGGATGTACTTGAGAAAATATATAAATTTATGATGATGTTTACCGGATCTTATTTTCAGCCTCCAACTAGAATATTTTGGTTATTAACTGCAATAGTTAATACTGATATTAATAATATCCCGAAATAAATTATCATCTGAATTGTATTATATTTGAATTTTACATATTGAATTATTTTTACGGATTATACGATAATAATTTCTGCGAACCTAGAATTTAAGAAGTGGATGGCTTACTGTGTCGTCGTACTCATTCCATTGCTGATATCTTTTCTCAGAGTAGAACCACATAAAGATCATACAATTGATTTCTGAAGGGAAATTTGGGCAACTAAGAAGATAGGGTAAAAGGCTTTACTTTTATTTACAATGAATATGAATTTATTTATGTACGAACATATCAGTATGATAGTTAGCAATTTTGAGATGTACTTGAGTTATGGATGTGTGTACTATGTACTACTCAGATTATATTATAGAATCTCAAATAACAATGACTTTGAGCCATACAAGATCTGGAGTACTGGACTGAATACTGGTCTTTTTAGTAGAAATTATGAAATAGGATTGAATATTGAATTATTGCTCTGAAGATTGGACACTGCACACTTTCGTCGAGACCTTAGCGTCCGAATTATTCTTGGATACTGGGGAGTGATAACAACAAAATTCAAAAAGAAAGGCGGTTGGACAGTTCATGTTGCCCGCATATTTGGGCAGCTCAGATCTAAATATGCTTCACAATTGGATACCTTGCTTACTTGGCTAGATCCATTTATTGCAAATGTAGAGGCACATAAAAGTTTTATTTCAGACTTTCTTTATCGTTATGTATTTAGGGGCGACAAGGATTGAGTTTGTAGGACCTACGACATCAACTTCAGGATCCAATATAAACTTATAAAATCCACTTGAATATCCAATCCCATTGAGAAAAGTAAGTAAATTTATATTCAGTTATCGATCAAGCCTGTCAACACCTCTATTATGATGTATCACCAAATTATATTTTAATATTTCCTGACCTAATTCTCATTTATTTGAGCCAGTGGGTTACTGCAGTGGCATGTTGCTAGTCTTTTTATCACAGAAATAGAAGAATAGCTCAGGCAGGTGATAGTTTCCACTTTCAAGTTCCACTAAAACACATTAGAATCTAAACATTACTTATGCAGGTTGTGACTGAAGATAAAATATGTAAAACTACCTTCTAAATTTCCATTTTGCTGCTGCAGGGACTTCAACGGGTGGCAATGCCTCCTGCTTCCATCCCTTTAGAGCATCAAAGGCATTGTAATGCAGTTTAACACCGCTATCCACATGTGAAAGACATAGAGAGCTCTCTCCAAAAACCATCTCAGGTAAGTGTGATGTTCCGAGCTTTTCTTCCCACCTGGCAAATGACAAGCAGTTTAATTAGCATACTGGTAGAAATATAAATATGTAGGTCACACGTTATAAGCTAGGATCCTGGTCATATACAATCTCTGGATCGTTATCTATGAAACAGTGAAACTACATAATCATAAAACAGTTAACACTAACCAAGGAAAAACTTCAAACTTGAATATGACAAAGCTCACATTCCAAATTTTTGGGATCGGCTATATGAATTCTTTTCAGTTTAATTAAATGAATACTTGAATCTGGTCATGTAATCTACGGTGCTTGAAACTGCACTTGCTAAACCTAAAATGAAATTAACTCCTAAAGTAGCATCCAAGCACTTAGAAAGGTTCACTTAGAAAGGTTCTTGACGCCTAAGGGTTCCAATTAGAAGTATCAAAGTCTTGCAGCTACTTATATTAAAATAAACAAAGAGCAATATTATAACAAAATGTGCTTTTTGGCTATGTGATCACATTAGAAACATGAATGAGAAAGTGGTAAGAGTGAAATATGGACTCGAAAAAGTAAACTGAGACATGAGAAAATTGAACTAGAAACATCCTCAGTAAGTAATAACATAATATGACCTTAGTCGTTGGCAATCTCGATATCAAGAACCTTATATGGAAGGATTTGCAAGAGACTAACATCCAACTGTTGAGATTATGAGAGTTATAAAGAATATTTAAATAAGTAAGATTGCCCTAACTTCTAGCCAGCCGCATAAATGATGTTTAGGAGATTACAATTTGATGTCCTCTTGATTTCCAGTGATAAAAAGTATTAGGGCTTGAGCTGTTGGTCATAAACTTCGATTTAGTTTCACCATGCCTATATCAAGTACAAGTACATAAATGAACCTTACAAGCTCATGAGGTAAGGTAGATACATTATATACATGAATTTCTTTCGCACATTGCTATTACTTCGGTGACACTGGAAGACTTTAGAAAGTAGGAGAATAAGGCATCGGGTTAGAATTTGCCAATTACGTTGATCTCCTTCGAATGAGAATGTGGCAATTCATATACCAAGATTCAAGAGTTATGAACCTTCCGCCAGTAATCCATTCTATTTTACAAAATAAAACTCATGTATAAAAGTTGTTGATATAATGATATTAATTCTTTCAAACATTAGTTTATAAAACAAAATTACGCTCCCATTGAAATCCCAGCCTTTTCAGGGGATTTTCGTTTTCTCCTAGGGCTCACTTTGGCAAGCCACTTTATACGTGGATTCATAAAGTTGCAAATTACTGAATTGTGGATACAGTTCACGATGTTTGATACGCATAGTTGATCTACCGACCTATATTAAAATTTAAGCCAAATATTAGGTAGATGTGTTTATATCTTAGTTTGTGCTATTTAAGACACGTAATTAACACAAACACTATTTAAGATGTCATGTAATTGGAAAAACACTATTTTACAAGTAAATTTAATCTACTAACATTTTTTTTTTTGAATTTCAGAAACCCCTAAGTGGAATCCACCATTCAGGGGAATGAGTGAACGCTATTCCTTTGAATCTAGCAGCTGAAGTCCTATATTCCTAAATACTGATAACCAGATAGACCATTATAATTCTGAGGGCATAAATATCCTCAATTTCTTTTGCATCAATATGTCATTTTGTCAGCTGACAAAGACTGAGGTGTGACTTCGGCAAGTTTCGAATAGATCTAATGAGTCTAATACAAATATATCCTAATGGAGAATACTAAATTCCTAGAAATTATTACCTATCTCTTTCAGTTAACTTAAATCAAAATGCTTAAGAGGCCACTATATTCGCTACCCAGAATACCTAGGAACTAAATGTTCATCACTTAGCACTATGAATATACACATTCTGATGAATGCAGTGGCAGAGCTAGGCCAAGGGATAGTGGGGGCAATAATATAAATAAATAATACATACTATTTATAAATCAACAAATAACTTTATTTATATATTTCAACATCAAAAGATAAGACATTTACGATTGTCCGCGATGAGTTTTCTTATTTTGAAATCCTAGTACTGATTTGAGGTCCATTCACTCAGCATCGAGTCCGTGTGAAGTATAATAACCTTTATCGATCTTGGTGACTTCAAGAGCCCATCTTTTGTTCATTATACAATAATGAGTTCTCTATTACCCGTTATATATCTATAATCAGCCCATCCTAAACATGACTATGTTTTGATCTCAATAAGATATTGGCTATGTTTTATTCATTATTCAAATCTTTCCTCATTGTGTCACAAGTTTTTTGATCTTATTTAAGAAGAAGTTTTAACGCAATCTCATGTGAAATATAATGTCTAAAAGACTTTCCCTTTTTTTCACCAAACTCATCCTGGTCCTATCCTAGTCACGGCCTCTTTTTTGCTTTTCTCTTTTAACCTTTCTCTTGAAACCAATTACCCATGATGATGAGAGTGTGAGAGAAAGATCTGATTAGAGATAATTAGGATGAGAGTTAGGTTAAATAAAAGGTATTTGGATTTAACTAAATGGACCATAGCAAAGTCTAATTGCAACTAACTAGAAATAAATTCTATTTAACAATATGAACCTCTATTTAAAATACATGTCATAATAATAAAAAGTATATTTCATTTAAAACCTATAAAGACGTATAATGAAATTAAATTGTAAATTAACTATAATATTCATGTGTCTAAAATATCAAGTGGGGATAAATATTAATCTAGACCTAAATAATAAATTTAATACATATGAGGAGCATATTAGAGAAATGAATTGAGTTTCCACACTATGGTGAATATGACCTGCCATTGAATGAATGCATTGTTTACTAGTGCTTATCTATGGTTGTTTCTAAGTACAATAACAACAATAGAGTCTATATCCTAAATTTTTTGAGACAACTACAGAATATTGTTCTTTAATTCAATTTTGTTAAGAGTCATATCCTTAATCATATTCTTCTTAATTTGCTTCCACCCAAGTTTGCTTGGACTCACACCTACAGTTCTCTTTACTCTATTAACTATTAACTTATCACTTCTTGTCTTCTCCCAAATGTTGCATTCAGCGGCTCAAATTGCATCTCAATTGATTTTCTCATTTTAACTTCAATAGAAGCAACCTCTGACCTCTTATAAATGCACTCCTTTCTTATTTTTATCTTAAAGTTGACCTTATCACATTCTTGCTTCTATTACACACATTTTTTGCATAAACCAACATTTTGATCCGTAAAGCATTATGATTCTTAAGGTTTCCCGTAGAATTTTCCCTTCAATTTCATAGCAATTTACAGTCACATAAAACCTCAAACGTTGTCCTTTATTTTAACTATCCCGATCTGATTCGATAAACCACATCATCAAGTGACAGAGCCATATTCACCTTAGTGTAGACAAATGCCCTCACTCAAATCTTTTTTGCAATACCCATATGCATTAAATTTATTATTGAGACTTAGCTTAATATTCTTCCCCACTTGAAATTTTTGACACGTGATTATTATAGTTCATTCACAATTTAATTATTATACTCCTTTTGTTGGTTTAAATAAACTATACTTTTTATTATCATGATATCTATTCTAAATAGAGGCTCATGTTGTTAAATAGAATTGGTTTCTATTTAATTTTTAAATAGACTTTGATAATGCTCATTCAGTTAAAACAAAATACCCATTAATTAAACCTAACTCTCATCCTAATGATCTATAATCAAGTTGCTCTCTCACAACCATCATCATTAGTTGTTGCTTTCAAGAGAACGATCAAAAAAGAAAGAAGAGGCTTCGACTAGAAGATGACCTAGATGATTTTGGTGAAAAAAGATAAAATCTCTTAGCCTTAATACGTTCTAAATATTTTGCATAAGATTTTATTAAAATTCAATGGACAAATGTGGTCATAATCTTATTAAGATCAAAACATAACCATGTTAGGACTTGTTGATTATAAACAATGTTACAGAAAGCGCTAGGTGACCTAGGCATTGGACTCGACGCCTAGAGCCCAAGCGCTTAGGCGGTAGCCTAGCTGGGACCTAGGCATTTTCCTATTTTGTTAGTTTTTAATTATAATGTCTGATAGTCAATGCGAATGTTATGGAAAGCTTAGGCGCTAGTATGACACCTAGATTGATTTCTTAAATGATGATGGTCGAGGCTTTGCTCAAGATCAAGAAAGATTGAGGTGTTCATAGTTGGAGGAGGTTGGAAGATATGGAGGTTGCAATGGAGGAAATCACGATCATTGCCTAAAGGGTGCAGTCCATGTAGGCAAACCACACTCCCCTAAATGCTCCCAAAATCTAGATGGGAACCCTAGGTACCGCTTAGGCGTTAGATATTATGTAGGTGGTCAGGTGCAGCGTAGGCCCAGGCGTATGTCTAAGCGGGCTAGGTAGAGGCATTGTAAAACATTGGTTATAAATATATGCTGGCTAATAGATAACTCCTCTTTGTTACATAATGAACAAAAGACATGGCCTTTAGTTTATAACACAATAAAAGGTGAAAAACAACTTCTAAACTCCTATAACTATACTTCATATAAAGCCCCTCCCTTATCCATATTTTCATCATCTAGATTCTATACAGCAACTTAAAGGACAGTCAAAAAATATTGCTAACATTCCATTGAACCTTCTCAAGCTAATAGCGCAATCTAACCTCATATATTCATTTACATATCGAAAATACTTAGTCAATGGCAATAACAATGATTCCATTTGTGTGCAAAACAAAGTTAGAAATTTCTTCGGCTTTTAAAACAACAAAAGGAACGGGTATCTATGATGGAGACTATGCTATCTACCGCTTTCCAACATACATATTACAAATATAAACAAATTTCACATATAACATAGTCTAATTTTAGTATATAAATATGCTAGTTTGCTCATTTAATACCATATAATTCCAAAAGGACATGTTTGGATTGGGTATTATTTTGATGCAATAAGCCTTTACCCTTTAAAATAAAATAATGGGGTGTTTGGTTCAAAATTTTAGGAGGGATTAGGCCGGCCTAACTAGTCCTTTAAAATGAAATAGTCCAGAGATTTTGGACTAAATAAAGGAGGGGGAAGGGATGTTATTATAGTCCAGATACTATTTCCTGCTTGGAATAAGCACAGAATAGACTCATTTGCCCTTAATTTTCCTAAATATTACCTTATTGTTTCTTTTACCCGCTTATGTTAGGCTTTCACTTCCGGGATTTGTCAGCGATGTTGTTCATTTCTCACCTTCCGGATTGTATTGTAAAAGGAGGACGTCCACCGAAAAACATTAACCGCAATTGAGAATAGATAACTCAACTCCAGGAATGATAGCTCTTATAACTTTAATGAAATCTAAACATAGAAATATATGAGATTTTATCTAATGTAGAATTATCATATGAATCATGAGTGTTAGGTATTTTCCTTTGTTGCATGAATGTAGTCTATGATAAAAATATCTCATTCAACATATTCTCAAACAAATTATGTGCTCAGATATATTTTGTACATATAGAATTAAGTTCAATAGACATTCCATTACCACCATTTGGGGAAAAATCAATGATTCAAAGAAATATGGGGTGTTCAAAATTAGCTTAATAACATTTAACACAACTAGTTTTTTCTTTATTGCTCATACATGTTATTATTACAAAATATTTTAAATTTTCCTTGAGAACTGAGATATGCATGTAGAGGGGCATTGTGGACATCTATTGTTATGTCATAATCCTATACCACCTTATACTGATAAGTTCCCAAAAATGAAATAGGTGTTAGAGGTGTTAATGACAAACTGAACCAAATAAAGTATTAAAAATTTAACTCATTATAGTCTGTTGGACTGTAATATCCTAGGAGTACAGTGAGTTAAATTAATACCAGGATAAAATTAGTCCCTAATCCAAATATGGACAAGCAGTATAGAATAATGCCCGTGTCATACCACGTCGCAAAGTATTTTGGAGTCACAAGACCGAACGGATTTTTAGTATTCGAATGAGAATTAAGCGCATGACTTCCATTAGGACGAAAATCAAAAGGAACTCCTGCCCATATTTTCTTCAACTAGAAGAAAGTTATTATATGTCTCAAGTCCATGAAATTTTGCCAGCATTTCCATCGAAATTTCTGGAGCTGATACCTAAACCCCACCTCATTTAGGTGGGGGAAATGCCTAGACATCGACAATAACAGCAATTCCAATTATGGTTATAAAGCAAAGTAAGAAATGTTCCTCCCCTTCTAAAATTTCTCTTTCCCTTTACAGTTCCTAAAAACCTATGAAAGGGTACACTAGGACAATGCCATTTCATTACGTTAATTTCACCAAGATTTCATGATTCATGACATGAAATACAACAGATGGGGTAAAAAAGAAATTTTTTTTTTTTTTTTTTTTTTTGGGGGGGGGGGGGGGTGGGGCTAGGGTTTTGAGGAAACGAGCTCACTCTTGGATGGCGAGAGAGGTGAGAATGGATCGATGGAGGGATTTCGATCTTCCATCCCTTGAGATGCAATCCTCGCCGTCCATCTGGAAGCAGCTCCGCCCCTGCCGCCTTCAGATCGCTCTCTCTTCCCACCTCGCTTTCCTCCTCCATTGTTGATGAAGAAATCAGTGCTCCTAGACTTTAATTATTATCCAAGACCCAGGTTTGAGTGAGTCCAGTGGGCCTGAGCCTACTTTAGGCCCAATTCTATACGTCTAAGCATGTGTCTGAAGTTTTATTTTAATTCGGGCTGAATGGCACTCAAAGGCCCTATTGTTTACCTTTTCACAATTTAGGGAATTTATGTAAGTGTCCAAGGTGGTGAAATAGTAAGGTATTTAATTGCAATTTAGCCTTTAATTTGAGAAGAAAGAAACATTGTTATTTTTTCTAGAATAAACTCAAATAGTCAGTTTTCTCTAAGATTAATCAAGTATTTTAGACTAATTTTAGAAAGGTTGGGAAAATTAGAAGATATTTTTCATTTACAAAAGATTATAAAAAAAAAAGAGGATGCTACAGTTTGTAGCCTTGCTTTTAAAGGATCTCCTAGTTATATGTATATTATGCCTTTTTCCCCCCTGTCCCTCGGAAATAATATTCTAAATAAAAAGAGCTCAGTATTGGCTACCACCAGCGTTTCGTAACATTGATTTCTGTCAAATTTAATGAGTAGATGGTCCCAAGTACGCACCAGTGCATCCTTATCTTTTTGCAAAGACAGAGCAGACACGAAGAAAATGAGAATAAATAAGAAATAAAATACTTATGTTTGGTTGGTTTCCTAAAAACAAAGAAAAGGAAATCTTTGTACTTTTTTCATTAAAATATTATTTTTATCTATTTACATCCCTAGAACTCACCCTAAGAAAAGGAAATCTATACGCTTTTATCAATAAAATAACATTTCATTTCCACCCATTTCCTCAAAAAAACCAAGGAAATTGATTTCATTAAGTGTGGGTCACATCATCCAATAATATAATGACAACTCATCTCATCTCATCTATTTTCTTATTTTTAAGAATGAACCAAACATAAGAAAAGAACCTATTATAGGAAATAGGTTTCTTATAATACATTTCCTTATTTTTTTAGGGGCTGTTTGGTTGGTTTCCTAAAAACCAAAAAAAGAAAATCGGTACAAGGAAATCAATAAAATAATATTTTTATTCATTATGAATAAAAAATCACTTACATCATCCAATAATATGGTGACAACTCATCTCATCTTATCTCATATGTTTTGATTTCCTTCTTTTTTTAGCCAACCAAACAACCAAAATACAACTTTTCCTATCCTTTGATTTCCTATTCTTTGATTTCCCACTTTTTTAGGCAAACAAACAGCCCCTTAGATTCACAGTCAATCAGAAGGAAGAATGATAAGAGTGTTAAACCCATATGCTCACTTTTCAATGTGAGTATAAATCCGATTTCCTCTGCCATAAGATCTTTTCTAAAGTAATCATTTACGTACATTTGACTAAATCTATTTATAATAGGGTTAGATGGATTGTGTATGTGTGCAACATAATTATTAAACGCATCATACATGCGTCCAGGTTCTTGGGGTCGGGGGTATGAATTTGACAGTGTATAGCTTAACCTGTAAATTAAGATGATGGCAATTGGCATAGTAGATTTGGAATAAGAATAAGTAATAAATTAAAGGCGATTAATCAATTAAGACCTGTTTTATTCTCACCAACCATGACTTGGGCATCGCTACACCCATCTCAATCATGCCACTAAAATGAGTAAATAAACTCTTGTTTGTGCGTCGCCTGCACGAAACATTGTCAGTTATCTTATGTTTCCTAATGTTATGTCAACAGCAACGCGATACATTGGTGTCCTAGCATTTTCTTGGAAAAGAAATATTATAGATAATCTATATAAAATCACATATGAATAAGGACTACGTGATCATATATGTCCCATTATCAATTTTGAATGAAGCAATCAATGTCATTCTAATGAGAACATTATATCAGAAACTAATACTACTACAACGATCGATCAATATTAAGTTATGATGGACACGTATCGTTTTCTATTTTTCTTCCGCAAACGATTTCTATGAAGAGCTCTAGAAAAATGGGATTTAACAGTTTAATGTTCATGCTTAATGATTTAAAACTTAGGAAATTTACGTTGTTTACTACTCAAATTGGGGCAATACACGTCTGAAAATGCTCGAAGGTTAAAGCATTTTTTTCTATGATTCGATGAAATTTGATAGTTCAAACTAATTAAGCATGAAAGTCTAAAACATTGTTCATAAGTTTCGGTCACGCGCTTGTAACCCAACATATATAACTTCTCTCTCAAATTTGTTGAAGCCAAGTCTCATCAAACTTCGAGATTTGACAGGACATACACAATTATAGTGATGATATTTCGCTTATGAGAATAATCGCATTAAAATAAGCAAAGCTATATAACCGTTGGCTATATATAAAATGTTACATACTGGACTATCCACACGTAGAGAGTGCTACATTTTATCAATTGTAAACAATATTAAATATCTCCTTTTTTGTGATGTTTAATTTCATAAACATCCCATAATTGAAAATAAAGTAGCATGCAAATTAACTTCTGTCTTTAACGCATCGGATCCTTGTCATCACCTTGTGAGAGGGTTCTCTAATAGATGTTAACTAAGGGCCTCTTTGGTTCGCTTAAAACCCCCCTGGAAATCCATTTCTAAGCCTGACACCACCTCCACCTCAGCTTTTTTGTTTCCGTCAATTTCTTTTCCTCGCTTTGGTTCGTTAGGGTTGAAAGGGGGAAACGATGGTGAAAACACCGCCACATCAGCCTTTTTTCCTCTCCGCGATTTCCTTCCTCACCGAAGAGAAATCGATGAAAACACTGCCAGCTCTGACAATCGCTCTCTCCTTTTTCTGGTTGATTTTTTTTGGGATGCTAGGGTTACCTCTCCTCCCCGCCAGAAATCCCCCACGGCCTTTTTTCGTCGGCTTTTTCGTCGGCTAGGGTTTTTCGCCGTCTTCGTCTTTCGCCTTCATCGTCGGCTTCTTTGTCGCTGTTAATTGCTCGGTGAGTTCCTAAACTCTACACATTTTCTTTAAATTTATGATTTTGTGGTTAGGGTGATGATGAATTGTGTTGGATTAGAGGAGGAAGAAGAGGTTATTGTGATCATTTGTGGTTAGGGTGATGATGAACTGACTTGGCTTGACTAAGGAGACATTTATTGTGATCATTTTCAGTTTGATGTTGAGATATGAAATTCGTCGGATTTTGACTGAGAAAGGGTTATTATGATCATTTTTGGTGTTTATTGAGGTATTGTTGGTTGGTGTTTCTAGCAACCTACAATGTTAAGTTCTGAGATTCATAATATGGGTGTGTGTGGTATTTTGTGATTTCGTCGAATTTTCGTCGGATTTGGGGAAATCACTGCCTTTCTGAGATTATTTGTATTTATTGTCATTTCAAGTCATAAAAGGCCTATGAAAAATATTTGGCAGTGGCTACCAACATTATGTGATGATTGTAGAATACTAATTTTACATTGAACTTGTGTTTGCAGGAACTTTATTAGTCACCATATACATGACAACTAAAAAAACTGTATGTAAGCAACCTACAATGTATCTACATTGTATTGGATGGCTACTACTGTGGGTTATTAATGAAAATATTGTTATGTCATGAGTTTTAGTTGGTGACTTTTTTACTTTTAGGCTATGATGATTGTCAAAATTTCTGAGATTAGCAACCTGCAATTGATATTGCACTGGATGGCTAACAATGATGATATTGACGAAGTTCTGAGCCCTAAGCCGTAATTTGCATATACTCGCGCTTGAATTATACATTTACTTTATACATTTACCCGAACACAAACATTTCCTTGGTGAGACTGTTTCTTTCCCTCATGTTATATACCTGAACACAAACATTTCCATGGTGAGACACATTATGCAAACCAAGCCCTCTATGCATACACCCCAAATGCTATTTTAGTACTTGTGGAGGCATGGTTGTTACATGTATTCAGTTACTATGTGGAAGCCTGGCTATTTTTGTATTCAGTTACTATGTGCAAACATTTACATGTATTCAGTTACCTGAACACAAACATTTACATGTATTCAGTTACTATTTTTTGTATTCAGTTACTATTTTTTGTATTCAGTTACTATTTTTTGTATTCAGTTACTATTTTTTGTATTCAGTTACTATTTTTTGTATTCAGTTACTATTTTTTGTATTCAGTTACTATTTTTTGTATTCAGTTACTATTTTTTGTATTCAGTTACTATTTTTTGTATTCAGTTACTATTTTTTGTATTCAGTTACTATTTTTTGTATTCAGTTACTATTTTTTGTATTCAGTTACTATTTTTTGTATTCAGTTACCTGAACACAAACATTTACATGTATTCAGTTACTATCTCTCTCTTCCCACCTCGCTTTCCTCCTCCATTGTTGATGAAGAAATCAGTGCTCCTAGACTTTAATTATTATCCAAGACCCAGGTTTGAGTGAGTCCAGTGGGCCTGAGCCTACTTTAGGCCCAATTCTATACGTCTAAGCATGTGTCTGAAGTTTTATTTTAATTCGGGCTGAATGGCACTCAAAGGCCCTATTGTTTACCTTTTCACAATTTAGGGAATTTATGTAAGTGTCCAAGGTGGTGAAATAGTAAGGTATTTAATTGCAATTTAGCCTTTAATTTGAGAAGAAAGAAACATTGTTATTTTTTCTAGAATAAACTCAAATAGTCAGTTTTCTCTAAGATTAATCAAGTATTTTAGACTAATTTTAGAAAGGTTGGGAAAATTAGAAGATATTTTTCATTTACAAAAGATTATAAAAAAAAAAGAGGATGCTACAGTTTGTAGCCTTGCTTTTAAAGGATCTCCTAGTTATATGTATATTATGCCTTTTTCCCCCCTGTCCCTCGGAAATAATATTCTAAATAAAAAGAGCTCAGTATTGGCTACCACCAGCGTTTCGTAACATTGATTTCTGTCAAATTTAATGAGTAGATGGTCCCAAGTACGCACCAGTGCATCCTTATCTTTTTGCAAAGACAGAGCAGACACGAAGAAAATGAGAATAAATAAGAAATAAAATACTTATGTTTGG